GACTTGATTAGTAAGTTGGTCCAGAGCAATAATGTGCAGCATACGCTGTAGTGAATGTTGATGGAAGAAGTTTAAAGAGATTATCATTACCTAACAAATGTAAAATATATCCTTTAGACCCCTTTCACATTGGGTGGACTCTGTTTTGATCAGCAGGGGATCTGTCTGATGATCCCCTACTGATCAGAGTAGAGCAGGCGGATGACAGGTCCGTGTCCGCCCAGTTTAAGCAGAACAGACATGGATAGAGGACGCTCTGCTCTATGGGAGGCCTGGCCCAAACAGACTCCGCAGTCTCCACAGACTGCCCTCCAATCATATCCACAAATCTCTTTACACCCACCAGTCCATAGGGTGAATGAAGAGTCCAATCAGGTCTGCCTGAAAAAGTGATAGGCAGACCTGATTGGACCCTTTATGTGAAAGGGGCCTGAGTCATTAATCTGATTGCAGGACCTTTGATCAGGGCAGCTATTATAAAAGCCCTTATAAAAGCTAAAACTGCTAATACTTTCCATGGTGTTGTTGGGTCTAGTGATGACATTATGTCAAAGAATGAAATGAGGTTACCAAACTTGGTTATTACATTAGAGCTTTAGTATTTAGGCACTCGGTGGTTTAAAGTTGATCTCCATCCAGGGGTGGACTGACAACTCATGGGGCCCCCGAGCAATAGGAAATCATGGGGCCCCTGTGTCCTTGCCCACACTCAAACCACACCCAAAAAAGCCCATAAAAAGTACCAGGGGCATCTCATGGGGCCCCCTGCTGACCCCGGGCCCTTGGGCAGTGCCCGGGTGCCCAAATGGTCAGTCTGCCCCTGGCTCCAGATTTACCTACAGTCTTGTACAGTTGAACAGGCTCCTCTATTGTACTAAAAGTGCTTACTCTGTTTTCACTGCACACTGCAAGCTTCTCACAGTATGGTTTAGAAGTCAGAATGGATTTTCATAATTGGATTTCATTTTTTTTATTAATAATGGAGGTTCAGCAACATACGTGAGCATTACATAGGACAGACTCTGTGTAAATGCAGCCTGCCTGGGAATGCACACTTCCTTAGAATGACATTTCTCCCAAGAGCAAGCCCACTTCTTGCACCAAGGCTGAAGACTCTTGAGTGGAGTACTGGGGCAGGGAACTGCATTGTTTTCCAGAATTTATGTACAACACCCTCCTGGCTCCCCTCACCAGCCTTGATCTGCCCACATTGCAAACAGAGGTACAAAGACCCAGTAATTATGTCATTGGCTCTACATAAGGAATGTAATGAAAACAGAAGGGTGTTATTTTACAGTTTAACATGTTGATGAGGGGGCCGGGAGGAAACAGGGGAGGAAAAAACGGCGGATTAAACTTCAGCCTTAATGTTTGTGATATACAGTATTTTGGAAATTATTCTTACTATACTAAGTTATACTTTTCATCTGCAGGGCAAGTTTACAGTATACTGAAGTTGTCTGGTAGGAGGATGTCGATACCACCCACTGCTATTCCTCATGTAATGGATTCCAGAAAACATATCTACTGGTGTAGGGTTCATCAAAACTGTGAGTACTTATGCCATTGGATGTTCAGACTAAAATATGTTGCTGATAGTTTAACCACTTGCCCTCCAGAGGATTTACCCCCCTTCCTGACCAGGCCAATTTTTGTGATACGACACTGTGTTATTTTAACTGACAATTGCACGGCCATGAAACACTGCACCCAAATGAAGTTTACGTCCTTTTTTTCCCACAAATAGAGCTTTTGTTCAGTGGTATTTGATCGCCTGTGCGTTTTTTATTTTTTGTGCTATAAACAAAAAAAAAAATGACAATTGTGAGAAAAAAACTATATTTTTGACTTTTTGCTATTAAAGATATCCAGTACAAAAATTTAAAAAATCACATTTCGTCATAAATGTAGGCCAAAATGTAATCTGCTACATGTCTTTGCTAAACAAAAAATCCCAATAAGTGTATAATATTTGGTTTATGTGAAAGTTATAGCACAAATGGCGGTATACATACTGGAATTTTTTTTTACTAGTAATGGAGGCGATCAGTGACATATAGCAGGACTGCGGCAGGCATTCTGACACTGCGGGGAACTGACTTGGTGTCACTGACATCCCCAGTGACACCAATACAGTGATCAGTGCTAATAAAAAGCACTGACACTGTACTAATGGCAATGGTCAGGTAGGGGTTAACATGTGGGATGATCAAAGGGTTAACTGTGTGTTGTGTGATGTTTCACAGTGTGCTTTACACTATGCAGAGCCATACAAAGAAGTCTGCAGGAGCTGACAGGGGAGAGATCTCTGTTGTTTATACACAGGTCTCTCCCCCATCGGAGATACTCGGCGATCACCGGATGCCGGCGAGGAATCACCAGCCGGGACCCAGTGATTGACAGCCGAGGCTGCAAACGGCAGCGCACGTAGGGAGCATGCGCCCCCCTACCCAGAAACTGCAAAGTCACGTATATATATACGTGATTTTGCGCACTCGTGCCACCCTGTAATAGTATTTCTGGTATAGGGTGGTGCAGAATCGGTTAAATATAGACCATATCGGGATGATTTGCTCAAGATGCTCAGTTTTGTCTTCATAAACCCTTAATTTGTGTAATTTTCTACCATCCAAGTATTACAAGTTTTACTTTAAAGTGGTTGTAAGGCTCAGGCATGAAATATGAACATAGCATATCCCTCTATAGTGTGTACTTGTCTCAATTAAGAGCACTAAGTGTCATTTATGTCTGCTGCTTTGTTCCTCTGCTATCAGCATGAGTCACTTCTTGCAAATTTTCCTGACACCAGGAGAAAAACTGTGACAGTGAGGGACCTCCAGCAGATTGACAGCCTCAGCTCTGTTCATGTGAGCTGTGTGAAGGGAGGTGTGTCTTTTCCCTTCAATCAGCTTTCAGAGCTCACCTGACTGAACTCTGAAGTATGTTAGTTCAGATCCCTGCCCCCTGTTTTCTGAACTCTCAGACAAGCTTTATAAATCATGCACTTTTAATGGCTGTAGAAAAGAAATTGCAACAGATAGACAGGTACAACTTGTGTATGAAGATTTGTTTTATCTCTGTGTATCAACTGAGGCTAATCACTTCACTAGGTATATGTAAGGGTTTACAACCACTTTAAATTCTGAGAGAATGAATAACCTTTAAAGAAATGTTTTCCTTTAGTGAGAAATGTATGTATAAACAGCAGTTAATGTAGTAGTCTATACACATGCATGTTTTTTATTCTTTTTAGAGAGAATAACCAAAATTTGCTTTGCTGGCAAGCCATGAAATCCTAATCCAACCCTGCAATCTCTTTCATGAGATCAAATACCCATGGTTTTCTGACCTAAAAAGTGAACAGTAAATCTGTCAGAGAAGCATGCAGTCAGAGAGTGAAAAACCGATGGGATTTCACAAATTTTAGGAATGTGCAAAATGTAAATACATTGGCAAGCTATATAATGCCCCCAGGGATTTAAAAAAATTAATTATCAAGCCAACATAGCTATGTTGGTGATATACGTTCCTTTCTCTCTCTGACTGCTCGTGAGGGGATGGAGGTACCCACGCAGGACCAAGGATTTGAAAGCATGAAAATTAACTAGTAAGGTGGGACTACATGCCAAGGGGGGTGTAAATTTATGTGCTTCAACTTATAATAAAATACCAGCTTCCATGAATTGACCCAATAGGGTTGAATATTAATACAAGGAAGTAATTTACTTTTCCAAATATTTTACAAAACACTCCCATACTTTGTGACACACTGACTAATTGTCAAGGAGGAAATGACAAGGGTATTTAAAGTTTTTGAATTATTGTGTATGCAGTAAAAACATCTTATTGAATGTCAACATTGTCTTGCAGAATGATCTCTTATATGTACACTTTTGGTCGTATTCTGGTCTTGTAGTTCTAGGATTGAGAAATGTAATCAGTTCATGACATAATAGTTTGCCAGTCCAGGAAGAATGTATTTGCTTCTGATATTTGGATTAATGAGAAACAGGGTAATCAAAGGCATTGAATATATCTGCTATCTACAAAAAAGATCTGTTAATTGTACATTAAAACAAGAACACAGTGAGCATGCCACATTTCATCAGTATGGTGAGGCAAGTGATCTTCCCATTCAGGGAACTGGGTAAAGATGGCCATATACTTCAGGTGACTGTCACCTGTTTCTTTCTGTCATTATTATTTAAAAAGTTATCACTCCCCCCGAATTATCAAGGGTGCCTGCCAGGAAGTAAATTTGGCATGTAGAGTTATACAATATGAACATGCATTCCTGCGATGTTGCTTATTAAAGTCTATATCCAGCTTTAACAAGGACAAGACATAAGGTAACAAAACATTTTCTTACATGGTAAAATCAATGAATTAACAGAAATCTGCCATTAGAGTTGAAAGTAATATGTGAAGAGAAATTCAAATAATCACCTTTATTTTAAAGTGCTGTTATTTAGGAATGAGCAAGCCAAATTTGGTGAAGTCAGATTTGACTCCAACCATGCAGATTCACAAGCATATGGATATTCATTCCCACCAACCCTCAATGTATCCCAATAACAAAATCTATACTTAGGGCATTGAGTTAGTGAACGTCTGAAGCAGAGAGGTGATTTCTATCAGTGAAATGTTTTATTGAACACACTTAAGGAAAAAAAAGATATAAAAAAACAACTGTGTTGAATGTTGCTAAGCAGATTAGGCAGAATATCATTAGAGTACATTTTTGGAAAGTTTATTTATCACAATTGATAGTCTGCATTTTCCCATTTTCCCTTGGTCTGATGTCAATAAATACGGTATATTGTACACATTGGGGGAGAGTCACTAAAACTGGTGCACACAGGATATGGTTCAGCTGTGCATTGTAACCAATCAGCTTCCAGGTTTTATTGTCAAAGCTTATAGTGTTACTAAACCCAGGACCCTGCATTCACTATATCTGGTCTCCCACAGTATATACTACATGGAAATGCAATTATTTTAGAAAATATAAACTGCTAAATACCTTTTCTCATCAGCAGTTAGAGCAGTCGAGACTTCTATCAGTGTTCAGCCGAGCACTGGTTAAGGCTTTTAGGAAGAGTTTTTCTTTCTGCTCTAGGAGGATGCAAAACCCCTGACCTCTGTCTGGACCGTGCTAATTGACCCTGTGCTGATCGCATGCATGCAAGAAAAAAGAAAAACCTCTCTAGCAATACACACTAAACTGAACATGTGCAGAGTGTCTCCACATGATATGTTTTATCAGGAGATAAGAGGGGGACACTGGAAGAAGGGGAGGATCAGAGAAGTCAGGATCAAACAGCATTTTTACACAATGCAGAGGATTAATTGCTTAGGTTCCACAGTGAGTATGACAAGCATGCTTTACTGCATATATAGACTGATTTTACTGTTGTGGGTTTAGTAACACTTTAACTGAACAAGCTGAAGTTAGAAGCTGATTGGTTGCTATACACAGCTGCACCAGATTCTGTGTGCACCATCTTTAGTAAATCTCCCCCAATATCTCCTATTCTCATTCTTTGTGTTTTTTTGGTTAGGTTTGAATGTTTGGGATATATCATACAATAACTTTTATTAGGTGATGCTGTCTGTCTGGAAACTAAACCACGGTTTTTACTCTGCTGTTTAGTGTTCAATATTAAAAGGTTAGTCCACACAAATAAGGTATTTTGACTGTATTCAGAGTCACATGCATGCTGCTTGCGTCTTATAACTTTTGGTGAGTCCAGCAGCAAGATCTCACCAAACCAAGTAAGGTAGTGTCCTCTATTAATTGCATGTATGAAGACAAAAGGGGATATCTGATGACTGTAATTCCTGGGAGATAAGGGAAACTGGTAAATTTAAGTATTTACCAAAAACAAATATCACTTTAAGGTGAACGCACCCTTAAATATTTTAATAGCTGAAGGCATAGTGTTTCGTAGTTTGGTCAGTTTTATATTTTCATAAAAGCTGGGTACCCAGTATGTTAGTAGTGTTAAATCCAAATTCCTAATTAGAGATTAGATGATTTGATTTAGAGGAGTTCATCAAACTACATCAAGGGGATGACCAGCAGAAGGCTGATGTTTGTATAAAAGTCTGGGGCCCGGAACAGCAGGGTCCTTGTCCTGAAGGAGACAACCCAGATTGAAGAGCTCCTGCCCTTCTGGACAGGTTAGCTGAAGACTACAGGAGTTTCAATGAGGTCCCAGCACAGAGAGATCTGGGGTGTTCATCACTATAGCTGCTGAGAACAGTTTGGAGAAAGTCTGAGAGAGAGAGTGAGATAGATCCTAGAGAGACTGTTGCTGCTTATTCCTGGCACTGACTAGAGTTGCTGAGTCCCCAGACTAGAGTTCTCTGAGCTGTATGTCCACTATCTCCTATCGCAAAGAGGTCCATCCTGAGAAGTTTAGCTACTACCAGAGATTGTCCTCTGTTACAGTTTGCACTAAAGTTGGAGTATCCCATAGCTCACCCTACACCTCCAACCAAGTTTAACCAGCAGTCACTTCAAAAAGACACTTGCAGCCTGGTTATTGTGTTGAGTGACTGGAAAGCTACTGTGTGCCTGGCAGCCATGCACTCAAGAGAGAATAGAACCTGTGACAAAATAGCAGACCAGCTTGGGGTCTGCACTACATGAACAGTCATACAAATATTCATATGAAAATTCTCACAATACAATCAATGGCATGATGAATATCATTCAAAGGTACTTACAAAATGTTTGCTTTTAACGTTCAGTTTTGGAGTGAATAGGATTTGCCAAACAAAAGCCACATTCCACTGTTAGAAAGTCATTCATTCGAGAAAAAAATTCTATCCCGCCCCTCTGAATTTTTTTTATCACTGAGGTTGGAAAAGAACAACGATTTGACCACACCGCCAATTAGAAAGTTGAAAGAACATTCTTAAAAAATATTAGTCATAGTGTTTGACCAGCTATAAGGTTTCATTAATAATTACACTTATGCTGATTGTTACCTTTAAGTTGCCAGAATTTAGTATTCCAAAATTCTATAATCCTTCTGATAATTACTACAACTGACAGGTTCCCATTCTGTACGATTTTCTTTAGGAATATGTGCGTATGCTTTGCTTTCAAAGACTTTGATATGTTTCAGGCTAGACTTCTTTTCACTCCTTACATCATATGGAGTTTCCCCATATGATGTTAATTTTTCAAGTAAGCTGTTTTGGAGAGAACACTGTCCTAATTGCCTTTCTCCAGTATGTTGGTGGCATAATCAAAAAGCATGCTTCTTTCACATAAAGTGCATTTTATTCTCTCTGTATTTTGTTCTGAACTGTATTGTACATGAGCCTGGAACATAACGTATCTTGGAGATGTTGCGGAGGTGAAGTCTACAAGATTTGGACAGTGATTGGATTTGGGGCTGAAAGGACAGATGGGAGTCTAGGATTACACCTAGTTCCCTGGAATGAGGGGAGGGACTGATTGTTGTATTATTGATCTTGATGGAGAAGTCAGGGGGGGGGGGCACGGGCTGGGGGGAATACTAAGAGCTCAGTTTTGGAAAGATTGAGTTTGAGGAAGTGGAGTGACATCCATGCCGATATGTCACTTAGTAGGTTAGTAATGCGAGAGGAGACTGAAGGGGTGAGGTGAGGGGTAGAAAGATAGATTTGTGTGTCATCAGCATAGAGATGGTACTTAAAGCCATGGGAGTTTATCAAGTGACCAAGGGGAGGAGGTGTAGATAGAGAAGAGAAGGGGCCATAGGACGGCACCTTGAGGGACCCTTACAGAAAGAGGGAGTGAAGAGGAGGAGGCAGAGTTATAGGTAATGCTGAAGGAGCGCTGCGATAGGTAGGAGGTGAACCAGGAGAGAGCAGAGTCTCTGAGGCCAAGAGAGTGGGGTTTTTTGAGGAGGAGGGGATGGTCAACTGTATCAAAAGCCGCAGAGAGGTCAAGTAGTAAGAGTATGGAGTAGTGGCCATTGGTTTTAGCAGTTATTAGATCATTAGTGAGTTTTAGTAGGGCAGTTTCAGTGGAGTGTAGTGAGCGAAAGCCAGACTGTAAAGGGTCCAGAAGGTTGTTGTCGATAAGGTGGGAGCTCAGGCGAATGTAGACTAAGCGTTCTAAGAGTTTAGAGGTAAACGGCAGCAGGGAGATGGGTCTTAAGTTGTTCAGGTTGGTGGGATCCAGCGAGGGCTTTTTAAGTATGGGAGTGATCTGTGCATGCTTTAGAGGGGTGGGGAAGGCACCAGTAGAGAGGGAGAAATTGAAGATGTGAGTGAGGGAGCATAGGATGGAAGAAGAGGGTGACCATAGTAGTTGTGAGGGGACAAGATCCAGGGGGCAGGTAGCGAGACAGGCTTCTGAGAAAACCTTAGTGACCTCTTCGGTAGTAGCAAGGTCAAAAGAGGAAAGTGTTGAGGGAGGTTTAGTATAAGGTATGCTAAGTGGGATGGATGTCTGTGCAGTGGCGATGCCCCTACGAATTGCGTCAATCTTGTTTTTGAAATGATTTGCAATCTCGTGACCAGTGAGTGAGGTACTGGGTGGAGGTGGAGGTGGAGAAAGTAGAGAGTAAAAAGTAGACAAGAGATGACGAGGACTGGATGACAAGGTATTAATAAGAGTGACAAAGTAGGCTTGTTTGGCAGCATGAAGGGAGGAATTGTATATTAAGAATGCAGATTTATATTGGGTGAATGCTTGTTGAGATTTGGTTTTATGTCACAATCGCTCCAGCGCACGACTATGTCGTTTAAGATTTCTGGTGTCGTCAGTCTGCCAAGGTTGTAATTGTCGGGGCCTGATGCTTTGTGTTGTTAGAGGAGCAAGTGAGTCTAATGTGGATGAAAGCGAACTATTGTAGACAGCAGTGGCCAGGTCAGGGCAGGACAGGGGAGAGATTCTGTCATAGAGGCGGTCAGTTGCAGAGTGGAAAGGAGCAGGGTTCAAGTTGTGAAGGTTTCTGCGGGTAATTGTTTGCTGCTTGGAGGGATAGGTGTTTGAAGACGAGGACACTGTGAAGGTGATGAGATTGTGATCAGAGAGAGGAAACAAGGTCTAATATATTCTCATCAGAGTGAGTGGAGGACTGTATACATTGTGCTAATGCAAAAGATGAGGTTAGATTGAAGAGTTGGGATGTAGCCGGGTTGTTGACATTAATAGGGATGTTAAAATTGTAGTGGGTAGTTCAGAGGAGAGAAAGTAGGGTAGCCAGGTGGAGAATTCATCAAGAAAGTGGGACACCGGTCCAGGAGGCCGATAGATCACTGAACTCCTCAGAGAAATGGGAGAAAACAGCCGGATGCAGTGAGTCTCGAAGGAAGAGAAGGATAGAGAGGGAGGGTTAGGGAGGACTTGAAAGGTGCTCAGTGGGGATAGAAGCAAACCAACTCCACCACCTTTCCGACCACTGGTCTGGGTGAGTGGGTCCAGAGGAGGCCTCCATAGGACAGTGCTGCGGGAGAAGCAGAATTTGCTGCTTGAAGCCAGGTTTCTGTAATAGCTAGTAGATTAAGGGAGTGGGAGACAAAAAGGCCATTGACAGAGGTGAGCTTATTACAGACAATGCGGGTATTCCATAGCGCACATGAAAAAGGGAGGGGTGGTTTTTGGGAGCACGAAGACTGATATTAAATTGAGGGGATTGCGGCTATTCCCTGAAAAAAGAGGATGCCTGGTGTGGAGGTGAGATACTGGAGGACCAGGGTTTGGGGAGATATCCCCAGAGGTTAGGAGAAGAAGAAGGGTGAGGAAAGTAACATGGGAGCAGGATGTAGATGAGTGCACATGCCTTCCAGTCCTGGTGTTTGGGTCAGTAGTAGGAGAGTGAAGTATCAGCAGGAGGGGTATGATAACAGTAGTAGGGAGATGGTAGCAGTGAGGGTGAGATGTACAAGTTTTGGGGTGGAGCAGAGGGGTAAAGAAAGGAGATTTTGGGAACGCAGGATAGTAATATGAAAAGGAGGAGTGGAGGGGACATATTAAAAAGTTCACGGAGTGGGACTCAGACTTGTAAGAGATGTTTCACAGGGTGTTTGCTTGCAGTCTGTCCAGCATGCAGTAGAGTTTCTTGTTGTTGTATCTTCCTGCTGCTTGAGTTATCCTGCTTTAGTTAAACTGCTGTGTTTAACTGCGTCTCCGCACTCCATCAAAAACAGCACTCACGCAAAAGCAGCACCCCATCTGTGACTATGCCCCCCCGATCTGGGACCAAGCCCCCATGAGTTGATCTAAATTTATAGGGAGATGGTCAAATGAGCACTCTTCTTCACCCCAAATAGGAACTGATAAGGATCACATGAATAGGGTGGGATATTTTTCTCAA